CTACGACCCTTGGCCATGTAGCTTCTAATCTGCTTCCCGAGCTTGAGGTGAGCAATGAAAGCAAGATGGCTGAGCTTGCAGCTGGGGCCCTTTGGCATCTTGGGCTTAACCGCCTTGGGCTTCACAAGGGCCTTGGTGGCCTCTGCACGCACACTCACTGCCTTTGCGTAGTGGGCCTGCATCTTCTTCGGGCCTTTCTTGTTGTGCTTCTTGGCAAAGCGCATGTTCCTCAGGAACTTGGGGTCCACCCCTTAAGAGATTCGTATCTTTGTGACCGGGGTTTCTTGATACCATTTCTGTGCCGTTTTCGAGATTGGTTGTGTGTGGTGTGGTTCTTGGACTTGGCCATGTCGGAATGGTAACCGGCGGCTCCCGAAGGGCCTGGGACCGGAAGAGAAAGAGACCACATGTCCCCATTTTTATGTACAGTTCCACTAAAGGCCTCGGATGCCTTGACCAGCCTCCCTTAGTTTGAACTTGACTAGCCTCCTGCTTCAGTGACAGGTCAGCGCTTCCAAGCTGACCTGTCTATACCTTTTCTCCATCACTTCAGGAGGTAGGTCCCTTTGTAAGTCGCTGTGGAGGCCACTGGCCTCTGCATGTTCTCTTGTTTGTTAGATATTTTCCTTATCCCTCTCAGGCACCGTGGCAAGTCTGTACCAACCAGCTGACTCCATTGTCCTTGTGGGCACTGCTCCTGGCCAGGTGGTGCCCGCCAGCAGGTCACTCTTCTCAACTGTCACGAGTGGATGTTTTTTCCACTTTCCCAGCTCTCTCTGTGTTTCCCTTCAACTTTGCTTATAAACCTCAAAGTTCCCTTTAGCGTTCTCTTTTGTGGTATCTTACCAGCAGGCAGCAAGAAAGCCTATTGGCGTTTGCAGTATTCCACCCGGAAGACTTCTCCAAGTTTAGTAGGTACATTTGCTGTCCGCCGAGTTACCACAGCCGACAGCTTTATCAACCATTCCACCACTATGTACCGCGGGAAGCTTTCTCCAGTCTCCAATATCAGCTTCGTCCCTGCTCATCCTGGCCTTACGAACAGCGTCCTCACTGCTCTTCTGGCTTCTGTCTGCTGCTGGCCACAATGACAACACCTCCTGTTCTAGGGTTTCATGATGGCGACATTCCACTTCCCCAAACCAGTTTCTTAATTTACCGTGCATTGCAGAATAACAAAGCACCTCCAAATCTCGGCGCTTCCGATAACGAGGGTTGTTAGTTCCTCAGGTCTTCAGGACTTCGCCGGGCCACTGGTCTCTGGTTTGGCCCAGTGTTCTGCTTTCAGCTGTGTCCGATCTGGATGCAGCTGTGGGGTTTCCGGACCTCTCTCATCGTGTGGTCTCTCACTTGGGATGCGAGCTGCAGCTTCTGACATGCCGCTGCATTTTAAGAGTCAGAGTAAAAACTGCAAGATCCCTTATGACTCAAGGTCTGGAACTTGCACAGTGGCATGCTCCACTGTCCAAAATAAGTCACGAGGTAAACTAAGATCAGGTAGCAGCTGGGAAACAGCCCTGCCTTGCAAATGGGAAGAGCATCAAATCCACCTTGTAAAGGGCCTTGGAGGAGGTTGACAGAGAACCTTATTTACTGACCTTTTGATAAACAGAATGATCATTTTGGTAGAGGCGCCACAAAGATACTTGGTTCCGAGGGAGAGTGAGTTCCTTGTTTCTGTATCAGGACTGCGCAGGCTGCATGGCATTGCAGAGCCTTTTGCCACTCAGCTGGAGGAAGCTGGCGAAGGGTGCAAGTCCACTTCTGCCTGCTTCCCACCTCCACAAACACTCAACCTAGCACAAGACAGGAAGCCCCTCCACTGCCACCTAAAGGAAGGGCCTGGGAGGAAAGGGTTTTTGAGACTATTTTTAATTATATGTACTGGTGTCTCTGCATGGATATGTGCACATGAGTGCAGGTGCCGATGGAGGCCAGAAGAGGGCGTCAAATCTCCCCGAGCTGTAGTTATAGGTAGTTGTGAGCCGCCTGGATGCGGTTGCTAGGAACTGGACTCAGGTCCTCTGCAAGAGCAGTATGTGCCCTTTACCACTGAGCCATCTCTCCAGCACCTAGGAGGAAGGGACTGATTGTTCTTCTAGTTTTAATATCTTGAAGAATGGAAAGCAAAAATGAGATAGACAATAGGAATTCTGAAAGGTGTGATTTCTGAGTTCTTCCAAACCAGCAGGGAGAATGGGAAATGAGGAGGGACCGCTGAGGCCATGTCGCTGACCCAGCTTGCAGGGCTACTTGTCTGAGTTAGTCTTCTTCAGAAAGCTGCCTGTACCCATTGTGTCTGTGCTGATAGGCTAGGGGAAGGTGGGAATCCGTAATTCCCTGGTGCAGGCATGGCTTGAATGTGCCATCCTCCTGCCTCAGCCCTCTAATGCACCACCATGCCTGGCTGGGAATCCAAACTCTCCAACTGTTCCCAACCTTGATGTTCTTCTCACACTGGCTAACTTTCCAAGATCCCATTTTGACCCGGGTCCTACTAATTTTTGTATTCTCCTCACCCTTACTTCAACCAGAGGGTTATTATGGCGGGGTTGGGCTGAGGCGCGTGCACAACATCCTGACTCCATCCCTCCTTTCCCAAGTGGAACTGGACTGCACTAATTGACCTGGAGGGTCTCAGCTGTGCTAAGTTGGGTGTTTGTTAGATCTCGTTAGGCTGGTAATTAGTGCGGGGAATCTAGGTCAGAGGCAACCAGTTGGAGCGATGGCCTCCTGGGGCCTGAATAAAGGTGGGAAAGAGCAAGCACATTCCTCTTTTTTTTTTTTTTTTTTTTGTGGGTGGGTGAACCAGGGACAGGGGACAGTGGGACTCATGGTACACGCAGAGAGACACAGGGTCACGTGCAGAAAAGCACGCAAACTCTCTCTCTCTCTCTCTCTCTCTCTCTCTCTCTCTCTCTCTCTGTGTGTGTGTGTGTGTGTGTGTGTGTGTGTGTGTGTGTGTGTGTGTGTTCACTCCCGCTTTACTCGGGTTTCCTTCCAACCTCTCCATATATGGTGTGGCTCTAGAGCAGGCTGGGGATTGGCTGCTGTTGTTGGGAGACTAGGAGGCAGAAAAAGAAACCCAGCGTAGGGAGGGAGGAGAGAGCATGGTAGCCAGGCTTCAAGGGTTGCAGAAGGGCTACTTGCCTTTGAGGTTGAGATAGATTCTTTGGGATGTGTTTCTAGGGAGAAGAGGGCGCACGCTGACTGTTGGCAGGGTGCTGGGGGTGTGGGTGGGGAATGGGACAGGGGCTATTGCCCTAGGACCACAGCTCCAGGCTTAGGACCAGTTTGCGAGGGCTTGAGTGAGGAGAGAGGGGCGAGAAACCTGTCCTCCACTCCTCACCCTAGACAACTTACAGCTACGCTGTGGAAATCATATGCAAATTAACTCATTAGCTTTCCAGGCCAACACCTCAGACATCCTTCCTAATGGAGGAAGCTATAGACTGTACCTTTATCAGTACCATCCATCCTCCATCCCTCCTGAACAACTTACGGAGAGAAACAGAAGGGGAGGGGAATGTCATTGAAATATGACTTAAGCATCTGGTTCTCCAATTTACCTGTCTCTACTCATCACCCTGGTTCAACTCTGTGTCCTGGATTCCCCCGTCCCCATCCCGGGGCCTCCCAGAGGAGTTTCCCTCTCCAGTTGATTTGGGTAAGAAGACAGAGCCAGGCTGTTGGGAAAGAGGGTGAATATAAACACCCTGAAAATGTCTGTCGGGGGAAGACAGCCACCGATGCCACCGCAGAACTTCTTCCCTTCCCCTCCACGTGGAGACCGGAGGAAGGAAGAGCCATAATGCAGGGAAATGGAGTACCGAGAGGGGCCAGGAGGGAGACTAGAACAGCATGCTGGGATCCTGACCTGGTGGCTAGGTTCAAAACATTTTTACATGAGCAGAGATCTTGCTGGCAGCCGCCCACCACAAGCATAGAATTTAGGTTGCTTTTCCAGTGTGAAATATGGCTTTGTGTTAAGCTCTGAAATGGTTGCAGACCAGGAATCACGCTCATCCCTCCTTACAGCTGTCCTCAGCACAGTGCGGGGAGGTACCTCGCATGCCCTCCTCCGAAGAGAGGGATGGGCATGGCCTGTGGCCCATTCAAGGATGTGAAAGAGAATGGCAGTGATTGGCCCTGTGTCCTTTGCCTCCTTCAAGCTGTGCTCTGGCCACCTGAATTTGCTGTTCACTACTCACTGAGTCAAAGCAGTCACAGCAGCCTTTGAAGCCGCCGGCGGACAAGCAGAGGCCACTGGCTGTTCTTTAGCACTGACAACGCTGTGGTTTGCAGAGGAGAAAACACTCATCAAGCCCCTTTAGCCCAGGGCTCATTAACCACAGTGACAGTCAGAACTTGAATCCAGACCCCTGTGGTTTCAAAGCCAGGTGCGGTTTAGCACTGTAGAGCCTGGATTCTGGAACGTGTGTGTGTGTGTGTGTGTGTGTGTGTGTGTGTGTGTGTGTGTTGCCCTCCCCTGGGTACCACAGATGACTGGCATGTTGGGATACACATGTCACTCTTGTTTTGTCTTTCTTCATTATGTGGGGGCGACAAGGAAGAGAAAATGGAAACGCTGACAAGATGGGAGGGCATAAGGTGTGGGATTTTAACCCAACTTTCAGTATCTGTGGCAATGGGCGGCTCTGAAGTCTGGGGCTAGAGCTGCGGGAAGGGAAGCCTCTGAGGGGCCAGGGAGCCTCTGAGGGGCCAGGGAGCCTGGTCCCCACTTTGTCCCCCAGGCAGGCCTGGGTATCAGGAAGGTGGTACTTGGTGTAATTCCCTTGGCTCAAGTGGGGTCCTTGTTTCTAGTAACTACAGGCTAGTTATGGAGAAAACTTTGGGGACAGTGAGAAGCAGGGACTGAGAAAACACGAGCCCGCCTGTCTTCTGGCAGGCTGGGGAGATGGCTCAGTGGTAAGAGCATTTGCTGTGCAACGACCAGAGTTCAAATCTCCAGCACTCACATATGCCTAAAGCCCAGAATCTCTCTTTCCTCGAGATGGTTTAATTGGAAGGACTCCCCCAACTTGTGTACAAGGTGGCAATGTCCCAACAGAACACAGGTCAAAGGGTCCCCCCAAGTCTCTCCGCAGCCCATAGCCTGTCCTTCCTCTTCCTTCTCTGAAGCTCTGGGACCTGACTGCTGGGGTGAGACCTCAGGAGGAGCAGGGGCCAAGGACATACCACCATATTTTTAACCCCTTGTATGCCAGATTCAAGAGGCTGTATGTCCTTACCCCATGAATCATTCAGTTCCTGCCTTCCCTGTGCTAGGCCTCACTATTATCATTAATAAACTTAATCTCAGAGTACAAGCCGTGGGGGAACTGCTACCGGGCGCCAGTGAGGAAGTCTGGCAGGAGGTGTGTGGGGAGAGCTGTTCTGAAGCTGTGCTCTGCTGGGAGGGTGGCGGACAGAGGAGGGGGGTAGAAGGAACCCTTGCCTGGCAGAAAGAGGAAGCTGGGTGCAGGGCTGGCTTCCCCTTCTTCCCACACAGCCGCCATCACAAGCCAGCTTCTCGCTTAGGTCAGCTCTTCCACAGGGTCAGCTGCTCCCAGCTCCTTTGCGGCCCCACCCCAGGCACAGGACCAAGCCAGTCTATTCAAGTTTGTCTTGAGTCCTTGGTAGAAGGGAAGGGAAGCATCTCAGACCAGGAAACCGAGGCAGATCAATCTTGTTTTTGGTAGTGCTGGATATGGCACAGGGGCCTGGCACAGGCCAGGCGAGCACTGTGCCACCTAGCTCCGCCTCAGCCTCAGCGACCCCGCCACCCATACACACACCGTGGTGAGAGGCCAGTGTGAATTCCACATATCCTCCTCAGGGCCGGGGTAAATTTCACTTCTCTTATGGCATGGACAGGTGGCACCGGCCCCCCGGTCCCTAGAACTCAAGTTGCACAGCTGAAATTTCACCCTCTGAATAACAACCTGGAATGGGGCATCCGAGGAAACCACTTCCCCAGCACACTCCAGCCCAGATGCCGCCGCTGCCATGTGCATCCGCATCCCTTCCCTCCTGGGCTGGGAGCAGCTGGCCTGTGCAGTGAGCAGGCTGTATGGTGAGGGCTCCTTCATTGGGCCTCAGGGCTCACCTTCTCCAAGGTGACCAGGGAAACTCTCTGACCAGGGAGTTGTCTAGGGAAGTTGGTAGGGAAATGCCACAGCAGGCCAGGCATCGGCAAGAGCAATGAGCTTGGTTTTTTTTTTTTTGACTGAGGTAAATAAAAAAAGCTTTATCCTGCAACATTTGGAGATATAGAGTCTGTGCCCCCCCAAATTCCAGACCTGCCCCCCTCCTTCACATCAGGCTCTTCCGGTACTGACTGTGCTGGGAGGTGTGTCTGAGGTGGGAGTCGGGGGTCTGCAGGTCCATCTGTCTGTACAGGTCTCTCAGCTCCCTGACTTCTTGTAGCACCCTCTTTGCCTGGCTCCAGTTGGAGGAAGCCTCTCCCAGCAGCCTCTCTGTCTCCAGCAGCAGCTGCTCCGACTCAGAATCAGGTGGAGACTGTGGGGGGTCCTTGGCCTTTCGCTTGCCATCTCCCAGTCCCTGAACCTCTGCCAGCAGCTCCTGAGTCTTCTCCAGTTTCCTTGCTACTAGGTCCTGGATCCGGGACAGCTGCCCCGGCTGGGAGGGGACGGGGGCTGGGGATTCCTCAGCTCGAAGGTGGAGGGGGCGGGCTGGGGCAGTGTCCCTCTGAGACAGGATCTCCTCCAGGGAGGCACAGCGGCCCTTCTCTGTAGAGGTCAACTTCTTCGGGGCTTGCGGGGTGTAGGTAGCCCCCTTGTCTGGCTTTTCCCAAGGCCGGGAAAGGCTGCTTGCCCGGTGTGAAGAGGGCTGGATCCGGTCGGAGTCCGCTCTCCGTCGACTGCCAGCCAGTTGGGCCACAGACTTGTCCAGATCCACCCGAAAGTTCTCAGCACAAGAGGCTGGCTCCTCAGGGGAAGGGTCTTCCTCTTGGATCAGGTCTAATGTCAGCATCCCATCTGAGGTAGAGGTCGAAGCCTGGGAAAGAGTGTGGAAGAAGGGGTGAACTACCACTAGCTTATGAACGATGAGCGCAAGCTGAGGTCTCTTTCCTCAGCTCGCCTTCCCTGACGGAGTCCTCCACTCCTGACAGAGTCCTCCACTCCTGACTGAGTCCTCCACTCCTGACGGAGCCCTCCACTCCTGACTGAGTCCTCCACTCCTGACGGAGCCCTCCACTCCTGACTGAGTCCTCCACTCCTGACTGAATCCTCCACCCCTGACGGAGTCCTCCACCCCTGACGGAGTCCTCCACTCCTGACTGAGTCCTCCACTCCTGACGGAGCCCTCCACTCCTGACTGAGTCCTCCACTCCTGACAGAGTCCTCAACTTCTGTCTGAGTCCTCCACTCCTGACTGAGTCCTCCCCTCCTGACTGAGTCCTCCCCTCCTGATGGAGTCCTCCACTCCTGACTGAGTCCTCCACTCCTGACTGAGTCCTCCACTTTGCTATTTTGGACCCTTTGATGATGATTTAAAGTCCTTTCTTCTGCTTTTCTGTAACGTATCTTCTCCTGCTCTGCTACAGGCTTCCCGAGAAGTGTCTACTTCTGTACTGTGGACTCTTAAGCATCACAGGGGATGGCCCACATGCAATTCACAGTAACGTGTACACACAGACGGAAGTAGAATGCTCTACTCACATCCTCTTGGCCACACACCTTAGCCTGCGCTGACATCTGAACTCTGACTCCTTGCCTGGTAACAAGGATTATTTCTTAAATGCTGTAATTTAGCAGTGGTAAAGGGAGGTCAGGACTTTCTATGCTGTTGCGCATGTGCGGTTCTGACCATTTCTCACAGAAGCATTTTATAGCTAGGCAGCTAGAGACCACGGGTCTGCTAAATCCAAGGCCTGGGTTCTTCCTCCTGCAGGTGATAGCCTCTCCCTAAACATGAGCAGGAGCATGGCTGAATGAGAGAAACCACCATTCTCTCAGTGGAGGCTTTGCTGTGGGGCATGTGGCATTTACCATCACTCATCAGGGTGGCCAGCCACCACACAGCAGCAGGTATCACTGCACACAGCACTTCTATTTTTCACTTTCCTGAGGGTATTTCTCATTTCCTCAGAAGTTACTGAGAACAGAGACATCTGACTCAGGGCAGGTGCTGAGTAAGTACTTTTGATGGGGGGGGGGTGAGGCAGGGATGGAGGGTGGGCAGGCCTCCTGAGCCCTTGATCCTTGGGTCAGGAGGCCTCCTACAAATGTCCCTGCTTGTTCACAGCTGAGATGGACTGACGCAGAACTGGCCCCTGGGCAGTGTTTATGTTCTTGCACTTTTACATACCACAGCCATGAGGTGTCCCCGCGTGGGAGGGCGGCGGGAGTGCTGGATCTTCGCTCTGTCTCGAGTAGGATGGACAAGGTAGCTGTCCTCTTCAACAGTGACCTGAAGAGATGCGCTGTGAGTCCCAGGGTTTCTTTAGGACTGTCCCGACTGGGCAACCCCCAACATGCCTGGACTGGGAAATAAGCCATCCCACCAACTATTCCTGAGAGGGCCGCAGGCAAAAGGATTTATGGACACAGTTGACCCAAGGCTAGCTCAAGCATCAGGAATCTGGGGAGGACGAATGAGCAGAGAAAAAGACTTCAGAGAGAAGACGGGGCGAGGGGGCACAAGGCCTTTAAAGAAGCAGAGAAAGTAGAGTGGGGGAACTAAAGGGGCCCCACAAAACACCCCTCCTCCTCTAGTGAGTCACAGCTTGCTTTCTGCCCTAGCACCCCCTTCCCCACAACAGGCCCCTGACCTCATCCAAGATGCGGTTCTTAGCTCTGGTGATGGCTGAGCTCAGGGCATTGATCCATGACTCCTTTTCTTCAGGACTCACTGCCAGGAAGATCAGGTTGGGTGCCTGTGAGGGGAACGTTCTTGCTTTAGCTAGGGCTTTACAAATAAGTTATAATCCTCCCCCAAAAGAAAAAGACATTCTAATCTCATTCCCTCACACCCAGCTCCTGGAGAGAGCGGTTCTGCTCCTGGAATCATGAGTGACTGAAAGAAACCCAGAGTCTGTTCCTGCAAAGTACACAGGTTGTTTTAGGAACGAGCGAGGAAGAGCTAAGAGGGACACTGGATTTGAACTTGCTGCTGCAGACATTAGGGGACGCATGACAGAGCTTAGGTACTAACGATCTTTAAATGTCCAAAGACACAGAATGTGACAAGCACGGCTTCCCTGGGTTCCCTTGAACTCAACCACCCATGGGGCACAAGAACCATAATTTTTCTTCCAAGAGAATATGTGTGTATACACAGTAGGGTGCGTGCATGTGTGCGTGTGTGTGCGCGCGTGCGTGCGTGTGTGTGTGTGTGTGTGTGTGTGTGTGTGTGTGTGTGTGTGTGTAAAGCAGGGAAGAGAGGGAGCAGGGAGAGGGATATCTTTATGACTGAAGAGGTTTACAGCTGGCCTGCCCGGAGGGAAGGGAATGGACAGAATATTCTCCAGTTAAACAGTAAAAGCCAGAGGAAGAACACTTCTGGGGGCCGTTCTGGGCCTCGAAGCGAGGGAGATCCCGCAGGGATGGCCCCTGCCCAGCCGGCCAGGCCGGCAGACATACCGTGGTGCCCGGCTGCTTGCATCGGGCCAGGGTGAACTTGCTGTGGTTTTTCTTGCTTCTGCTCTTGGATTTCCTGAGTTCTTCACACTTCTCATAGTCACTCAGGTCAAACACCTCTTGGATATTTTTCTCATCTTTTACCTAGGGGAGGTTTGGGGTGTGACCAGGATAAAATTACTCTGCTTCTGTTCCTGAAGGAAGGGAAGGAAGCAAAAGGAAGTCATCCCACCCAAGGTGTGCATCTGGGGATGGGGCTAAGAACCGAGTCCTGGTGTGGGATTCTGTTTAACCCCCTTGCCCTACAAGCTACCATCCCAGAGTCTCCCTCTACCCATGACCCTCACTCTGGTTCTGAAGGACATAGCTTTACAAGTCCTTAAAGGGACATGCCCTTAAAGGGACATGGTGAATGGGCTGATCCGACCATCCCAAGTAAGGAAGACGCGAGTGGCCATTAACAGTCCAGGGGAAGCTGAAGAAGGCGGCCAACATCTGGAACAACAAAGGGAATATTACAGTTCTCAAGAGCTCCTTCCCACCTGCTCCCCCTTCTAAAGTGGGACATTATAGGAGACTTCCTGATCAGCAGCCCAGCCACCCTCTTCTGCTTGGTTGGGAATATGCCAGGAACGAGTCAGTCATGTTTCCCGGGTAAAAGCTGAAACTGGGCACACGTGTCAAAGGTGCCATGTTTCCCTTGGCAGACTTGGGCCAGCCTAGAGTTGACCTGTGGATCACATGTGCTGTGGGGAGCGAAGGGCACATCCGTCTGTCTCCATTTGTCTGGCAAGGCAGGGCTCTCTAGGGTTCTCCCCGTGTTAGGGCTCCTGGGCTTCTGGCTGGGAAGTGACCAGAGGCCCTTATACATTATGGTGGACATGGGACAGACAAGCTGCCACAAAGAACATTGAAGAACAATTCACAGGAACCCAGGCTGGGATGTGGGGCCCTCCTCTCTGGCTCCTTCCCCAGAGAGACTATCAGCAGGGACCAGAAAGCTTGGAGAGGAAAAGAGCTGGGTGTGTGCAGCGGGGAAAGAACTCACTTGCTCTGTTTCCCAAGGGAAGGGGGGGGGGTGAGCTCTCCTGGCTGGGACATGGCTGATAAGGCACTCTGGGAGCAGGAGGCATTGGCAGAGGTTAGGAAGGGCATGGGGAGGAGACTGGGTGAGGCAGGAGGTGGAATAAGTAAATGCCAGTGCCCAGAAAAGACGGACACCCCCGGCACATTGTTCTCTGCTGTATTCTGTCTCTTCCTCACACCAAATTCCCAAAGTCTCCTTTCTGACTACATCTTCCAAGTTAACCCTTCCTTCTTCTCGTGGTCCGCAGACGTACTCAGCAGCGCTTTCCACCTAACCTCCTCTATCATGAAGTCACTTGACGGTGTGGATCTGTTCCTCTATCTGACCCTTGACCGGAAGACACCCCGGCCCTCTTAGAGGGTGCCCTTGGAGAGTAGGGAATGATCCACAACACACATGGAAGGGCTTCTCTAGTGGAGGAAGTTGTGGGAGACCCTGCTTTCCCAAGAACGATCGACAGAAACTAGGGAATGGTTAGGGACGTTTTCTCTTTCCCATCAGCACGTAAATTGCAAATATACGATGCTTTTGGTGTTTACATCTTCAATCTAGTGGTTTGTTGTAGCTTTTCTTTACGGGCAGAATAAACCGTGTCTTTTGGCAGTTTCGCCATTAGCCCAGCCCACTGACTGCGGATGGTCAGATTAAGGTCCCTTCCTGCCCCATGCCCTTCCCAGTCGGGGGCATCTGGCCCCAGGACTAGGCAGATGCTCCTGACTCAGAGGACAGCAGACACTCTAGGCTGAGGTCATCCTATCCTCTCTCTGCTCTGTATCCCTTCCTTCACACACAGGTTTATTAACCAACTAACCATGCACTTTTGTCCCAGGTTCTGCCTTTTGGACAAATACAAGCCAGGAAAAAAAAAAAAAGGAGGGGGTTTGTTTAGTTTGCTTAGCCTTTCACTGTCCTCGGTTCCCCTGACATGTAGGAAGCCCTTCCTGATTGCTCAAGCCGTTTCCTGGCATTATGAAGCTCAGGGAAGACGGGAGACACCGTGACACTTGCTGCTGCTTTTTTAAATAAACAAAAGTAGAAGGCAAGAAAATTGTGGCGAGAACTCCCTGTAGGATTTGGGACTGACTAGGTAGCAGCGACCCTTCAAAGCAGAGTCTCCCCAGTCTTCCCTCAGCGCGCTCCTAAGCCTCTCCAACCGTTATGTTTGGGCCCCTTCGAGGGGGCCCTCTCCGGCTCAGCACTACTCAGTTCTCGGCTTGTCTCAGTACAGTTTTCAGATGAGTACTTCTCTCGGGCTGCCAGGGTGTCTGCTTCAACACCATAAAAGGCTCTCTTTACCCCAACAGAGAGGCAGAACGCAAGTGTCTAGTACTGAAAGCAGAAGAGGTTAGACCTCAGGAGGACTTCCCAGTCTGTCTGGGGGAGGGAGCACAGTCACGGGAGGAAGGGCCCGTCTAGGGGGACACAGTCTACCGTGCTCTGTAGAAAGTCCCCGGGAAGCAAGCTCGGCTTCTCGGCATTCCTGTTAGCGATTCAAGAGTTAGGGCTTTACAAAAGGGGGAAGGGGTCCGGATTCCAGGACCCGGCTTTAGATTCTGACCCAGTGTGGGCTGTGGTTTCATGCTCAACCACAGAGTCAAAGCCACACGCGCGCCGAGCACAGGCACTCACAGTCCTAACTCCAGTCCCCGACTCCACAAATAAGGCTGGACAGAGTATGAGTTCCTTGCTGTTCGTTTGTTTTCTCCCCCCTTCTTTTTCTCTTTAAGTGGAGTGGAAGGTGAGGAACAGGCCCGGTTCAGGACGCCGGCTCCTACAAAAATCTGGCATTCCCAGCTCCTCCACGCCCGGTCCCAGAGGCGGACTCCAGTTTGTGTTTTCTATGATTTAGGGGGACTTGCTTCTCAGGAGACCTACATATGCCCCCTGCTACAGACAGGAATGGAAAGGGTGGTGGGCTGGGGTGGCAGGAAGGGGCGAGGGACAAGGTGACCAGTGCGTTCCAACAGAAAAAAAACAACCCCGTGTTTGGGGGGCCAGGGTAGGGTAAGAGGCAGCGGACGCCCGGAACTTCTGAGAAGGGCGTCCGCGAAGGCGCATTAGATGAGTAAACTCCGAATTCCCACTCAGGTAAAGTCACTCGGGGGCGACTTTTCTCTGCAGACACAGGACTTTGGCGACCCCTGAACTTGCAGGGAGGGAGGCGGGGCGAGGCGGCGAAGCAGCCGCCCGTGGGGACCGGGTCGGACCGGGTCGGGACGGCTCGAGCCAGGGCGCCCACCTACCTCCTTCTCGGAGACGTAGAGCTGGTCGCCCTTCAGCACCACATAGCGGTTTTTCCAAATCTCCCTGAAAATGCCTTTCCCGCAGAATTTCCGGACCCAGCCGACCTTCTCGGGCGCCGCAGAATGCTGGTTTCCATCCGGAGGCCCCTGGCCGGGGCGAGACGCGGAGCGGCGGCTCAGGCGGGTCCCCGCGCCCGCCTCCCCGGCCCCCGCCCGGCCCCCGCCCGGCCCCGGCCCCATTGTCCGCGCGCGCCGCGCACTCACCCGCTTGCCGGAGCCGCTCTTCTTCATGGCGCGATCGGGGGCGGCCGCGCCCGCTGCTCGCTCGGGCGGCTCGCACTAGCCGCAGGCCGGGCCCCCGCCGCCCCCGCCGCCCATGCCCGCCCCCGCCGCCCGGGCCCCGGCCGCCGCCGCCGCCGCCGCTGACGTCGCGGGCTCCGAATGAAGGGCGGACCGCCGCCGCCGCCGCCGCCGCGCGCTCCCCGCCCCCCGCCTTTGTTTCCGACCCGGCACCCGGCGGCGGAGGCGCGAGCGGATAACCGGGAGGCGCGGCGATGGGGGCGGGCCCGAGGCGTGGCGAGCGCGCGGGAGCCGAGGCGCCGGGGGAGAGCGGCCGGCTCGGACCCGCGGACGCCGGGCGAGCGGGGCGCCGGCAGGCTCCGGGCTCGACCGACTCCGGGGCCGGGCGGCCGTGAGCGCCCCGCGAGGCCTGCGGTCAACGCGCGGGCGGCGGCGGGCGGGCGGGGAGGCCCGCGAGCCCTTCGGAGCCCCCCGAGTTGGTGGCGGGGCCGGGCGGGAGCCCAAGTTGGAGGACGGCTTTCCTCACCACCCCGCCGTCTCCGCTCCCCTCCCGGGTCCACGGAGGAGGGTGAGCGGACCCGTGAAAGCCCCGGCGGACCCAAGTGTTGTCTTCTAGGGCCAATTACTACCAGACACTAAGCTAATAAACCTCTTACCTGGTGTATGGTGAACACAACCACCCACGGACTGAGTAAAGATCCCTGGCACAGAGCAGGGCAAATAACCTTTTCCCAGAAACGTTCAAGATGAAGTGTTGGTAAGTTTGTGGTTGGAAGCATGGAGGATGTTTGGGCTTTTTTTTGGAATCTGTCAAGGAAGAAGCTCAGATCCATCTTCCTTCCCAGTCCTGTAAGGTTTTCCTTAACTAGCCGTAGTCATTGATTTCTCTTTCAGGTGGATACAGAACTTTATCCTGTCACAATACTCTTATTTTGGCACTTAAAAATGCTGAGTACCATTTTGCAAGGCATATAGAGTGAGAATATCACCCACTAGGGAATGATCACGGCAAATGACGTGCTCAAATTGACACGCTACTGTCACATGAATTAGAATGTAGGTTTTCCGACCCCACTCTACCTTTCAGACTTTGTACACACAGAGCGCACTCCCCAGACTATCCCCTTCCCATCTCCCCATCTCAGTTTGGTACTGTCCTGTTTAAAAGGTGAGGGAAAAGGTGAGAAAATGCAGACTATGAGGAAGCAGAATGTACCGGTGTGAGGACGTAGCTGAGGAAATTAGCCTGCAGGAGCTTTTGGGAACTTGTTGGCTGGGCATATAAGAATGGTTTGGATGGACAGTTTTTTGTCTTTGTTTGTTTTGGACAAGGTCTTACACAGCCCAGGCTGCTTTCAGACTTACTACTTAGGTGAGGCTGGCCTTGATCTGTCTCCTCCTGTCTCCACCTGATTTACATAGTCTAAATAGGGGATGGGGGTGTGGCTCAGTGGTAGATCTCTTTGCCTGGCATTCAGGAGGGGCTGTAGCTCCATCGCCAGCACTACAAGGAGGAAATAGAAGGGTAGATTCTGGCTCAGGGGACAGAAGAAATCCATGACTTTGCCCCATTTCCTCCTCCCAGGAGCTTTCATTTAGTCTACAGATACTAGAGCATCCCTGGTGTGCAAGACACCAGCTCTCTGCACAGCATCAGACAGGAGCTAGTGCTTTGTGAAACATCAGGCAGAGGGACCCGTAAAAAATAACCAAAGTAATTTTCAGATTCTAGAGCAGATGCTTGTGGGCTGCAGAGCTTCGCTGCCTGTCTGTGTCTTGAGATGTTACATAAATCTCTGGCTGGTCCCCATCCCTCCCGGCTCCTTCTTCCCAGTAGCCGGAACTATTAGGAAGCTCGCCCTGGCCCTCTTCCTCACCTTTGCTTCTTGGTCTTGGCACTGGACGTTCCCATCTGCCAGCTTCTCCCCTGCTGTGCTCTAAAGCGGACTTCTCTTGCCAGGTGAACCTCATGGCACCTGAATTTGGATCTAAGTGGGGCTGTTTCCAGAGACCAGTGCTTAAGTACTTGAGAAATAAGCACTTCTGGTTTCCTTTACACATTTTTATAGCACTCAGTGAGCTCGACACTAACACACACACACACACACACACACACACACACACACACACAAGCACAAAAATAATGAGCCAGTTTCTCTAGGGAGCTAAGATCTTGGGAGGACTCCTGAGCGTGTCTGCCTGTAAGACAGCACCACCCAAAGCTGTACCCTGCAGTTGAACATTTTGTAAGTAGCTCCACTTAGGGGGAAAAGACTGAAACTATCAGGTAACATCTTGTGAGTAGCTGTTTGCAAGTTTACTGGGCAGAAATATCTGAGTTGTCATTTAAAAACAAATATCCTTGACTTTAAAATCCTATTTTAAAATAGGATTGGTGCTTTGACCAGGGCATTTTGATCTATGGGAGAGAGGGTTAGTAAAAGCATATGTCCTTCATTAAAATGTTTTTTTGATAAGAAAAAAGCAGTAATAATAGAATTAGCTCTGTAAATACTGAACTGTATCTCTGTATTTAAACCGAGGAAGGCACTAATTGTTTTCACTCTATGGATGAAGAAACTGAGCCTGCCACAAAAAGACCAGTATTTCCAATATTGGTCACATAAATAGGGCATAAATTTGAATGATGCTAGAGAATACTTATCAACTAGCTGGAGTTAAGGGGCTGGAGGAATGGTTTGGCAGTAAGAGTGCTTGCTGCTCTTGCAGAGGACCTGAGTTCAGTTCCCAGCACCCACACTGGGCACGCTGTAACTCCAGCTCCAGGAGATTGGATGTCCTATTCTGGTCTAAAGGGGTATCCACACCCACATGCACACACACACACACACACACACACACACACTCTTAAAACTTTAAAAATGCACTCCACAGACAACCAGGAGGGAATGTGCTGTGGCGCTCCTGCTCCAATTATGTGAGGACACCTTAATATCCTGCCGTTATTGATGTCATCACTTTTTACCACTTTCAGGAGAGGAAAAACTGAGACCAGCGCTTTCATTTGCTCTGGTATAAGTAAACATGCTGTGGGTACAGGCTGTGCCTTCACTGGATGGTATAACACCATCTCAAGTCTCACTGTATGAATTCCCATGAATGAGCCTCAAAGAAATCAAACAAAATCACTCCTATCCCTGCAGACTGAATTCTTATTGCAACCCTCCATGGGTTCTCAACCACAGCATTTCCAAAGAAATAAGTGTGCAGGACTCAGCTGCACAGGAGATGAGGGCTGTGTCCTGCAAGTCTTCCTGGGGCAGCATGGGAAGAAGAAGGAGCAGACACACACAGGCACGGAAAAGCTGGGCCAGGCGGGCAGTGTGCACTCTGATGGAGCTGTGGTACTGCCACCTGGAACCTCAGAGCACTTAGTACCATCTCAGGGGAGGGTAGCTAGTCTCAGTTGGTGCTGTGTGTAGGGGGGCAGTCTCGTCCTGGAGGAGGAAGCTGCAGTTGCTATTTTTTTAGTGGTCAGTCTTGCTAGAACACTTGGACAGAGAAAGGACTTGCCTTTCTGATCTGAGGGAAAGGCTTTGCCAACTTCCCAGAGGTCTAATTCCATGGTCCTTAACATGGCTGGATCATGCCACTCAGAACTTCACTTGCTCATGACTTTCTGAATCCCTCTTAGGTCTGACAACCCATTTCTCAAGAATGACCTCAGGAAAGCCCATCAGACACGACAGTGACTTGCCGTCAAATACACAAAGAACATATTTATTTGATACAGAATCACAGGTGGGCTGGGACGGACTCATCATCTCGGCAGTCCTGGCGTCTGTGCCAGCAGTTCGGGAATTGGGGTGACCTGGCGTGAGTTACAACACACACAAGCCCTTCTGAGCCCCCTGGTCAGCAGGGGGGCCATGCTCTTCTCGACGACGACGACGACGTTCTCCATTGCCGTCTCATCTTCTGCTTGCCGACCTCGAGGTGGCCTGTGAGCTCTCCCTGCTGCGGCTGTGGAGCCCAGAAGCCAGGACCTCCTCTAGGAAACTGACAAGGGGATTCCAGGTTATTCGGCAGAAAAGCAAAAGCCTCACCAAACTAGAACATCGTTCTCATGGCACTGAACTGGGTAAGAAAACCTGGACAGAGCTCGAGAAGTCCTGGCCTGCTACTGTGTGCTGAGCAGAGCTATGCTGGATAAAACACTCAGGCCGGAGGATTGACAAGGCCATTATGCACATTACTGGGTTTTCTTTTGTTTTTGGTTTCTCTGTGTAGCCCTGGCTGTCCTGGAACTCACTCTGTAGCCCAGGCTGGCCACAAACTCACAGAGATCCTCCTGCCTCTGCCTCCCAGTGCTGGGATTAAAGGTGTGCACCACCGCCTTGCCTGGCTCACAATTTTCCTGGTTTTTTTGGACAGGATTTTGTGCCATAGCTAACCTGGAGCTATGTCCCCCAGGCTGGCTTCCTCTCAGCCTTCTAAGTGGTGAGATTATAAGCTGTCATACCTCACTTGTGCTACCCTGTTCATGTGCAAGTCAGAGGACAACTTGTAGGGGTCAACTCAGGTCATCAAGCTTGGCAGCAAGTGCCCCTACCCACTGAAACTTTAAAAAGAAATTACAGGACCCCAGATCTTTTAAAGGCAAGGTTTTATGTATTACCTTAGGACAGTGGTTTCTCAACCTTCCCAATGCTCTGACTCTTTCATACAGTTCCTCGTGTTGTGATGACCCCAATCATAGAGTTGTTTTGTTGCTACTTTATAACTATAATTTTGCTACTGTTATGAATTGTAATGTAAATATCTGATATGCCGGACACCTGATATGTGACCCCTGTGGGGGTTGCGACCCACAGGTTGAGAACTGCCTCCTTACGTTACGTTACGTTAGCACCTATTATCTGTATTTTCCTAAAATACAGAGTTTATCTTATTGGATACTCTTTCCTCTTTAAAATCTTCCTAAAAAAAAACCCTTTGTGGGTGTCACAACACGCCTGTAGAGGTCCGAGGACAACCTTAGGTGTTGGTCCTCGCCTGTCATGTTAGACAGGGCTGCTTAAGCTGGAGGAAGTTTAACTCGGCCACTTCTGCAGGG